TGTAAGCACATGAGCAGCAAAAGGGCAACTAAATAAATTGTGAGGCTGTTGCACAATGGGGGCAAGAAACCTAGTGACAAAGTACATGGAAAAAACACAGAAGTTACCTTTGTCTTGCTTTTTACCTGGTAATATCTGTCCCCAGACCCCTCAGCTCCACAAGTTTACCAGAAAAGTTTGCATTATTTGCAGACAGGCACTTGGAGCACCTACACAATCTTGAGACCAGAACAGAAACCTGCAGTGGTGCTGAGACAGCTGGCTGATGACTTTGTGAGGTTGTTACTACCTTCAAAAGGTCAAGTCGAACAAGGGCATGCTGGTAACTAGAACAGACAAACATCACATCCATCTTGAAGAGTAAGAAGGAAGATCTGGGAAACTACAAGATGTCTGGGCACACCTCTCTTTCCTGGGAGATTTGTGATGCAAATGTCCCTGGAAGCCATTTCCAAGCATATGAAGAGTAAAGGAAATATCTGGAACAACTAATTTGGATTTGCCAAATCACAGCTAAACAACCATTTTGCCAGACCTGTGGATAAGGGGAGAGCAATGGATGTTGTACACCTTGACTAAAAGCCTGGCTTTTGAAATGGTCTGTCATCATATCCCACAGCTAAACCAGTGGAACATGAGCTGCACTCTCAGCCGATGATGCAGAACTGGGGAAATAGTGTGCTGTAGTGAGAGGCTACTGTTCAGAGATAACTTCATACAGGAGATACAGGCTGAAAGCATCTTTGGAGAAAAAGTCTGGAGGATGCTGTGCCAGCCATACCCTGGGCTACAGTAGCAAGACTGCAAGGGAAGTGATTATTGCCCTCCATTCAGCACTGCTGAGACCACATCTGGAGCCATGTGTCCAGTTCTCTCCCATACAAGAAAGATGTTTTCACACTTGAGTGAGTCCAGTGTGGGGCCATCAAACCAGCAGTGTAGTCCATGGCACATAAAAGAGGAACTCAGTGTGCTCAACTCTGAGAAGAGCAGGCTAGGGGGAGACCTTATTGCTCACTTAAAGGAGAGTGCAGGGAAAGAAAACTACTCTCGGAGGTGCACAGTGAAAGGATCAGAAGCTTGAACACGGCCAATTCAATTAGTCATAAGAAAACAGGTGTGGGATTTTTTCTTTTCTGTGTTTGCTTTTAAACCATAAAGGTGGTCAAATACCTGGTCAGGTTGCCCAGGTGACCTCCAGGATTGGCTCTCAACAAAAATTATTCTAACATCAAGTCTGCAAGTAGAGAAAGAACAGAGCAGAGATCTCAGCACAGTACTACCGTGAACTCTTTCTGTCGGTAGCACGGTAAAGTAGCACATTAATATGACAATGAATGACCCAAAAGAATATCACTCTCACTTATACAGAGGGACACTAAAACTATGCAATCCAGCTTCTTCTCAGTGATCCTCAAAGGATATGCATTTAGACTAGAGTGCAGGGATAATTATGATCATAATCAATACAAGATTCACTCAGCTGGATGCAAAAAGGGTTTACATTTCCTTTGTTAATTTGTTGACATGAGACATAAGATTTATCTGTCTGTTCCTTGGTTTTCTCTGTTAATGCAAGACAGGAGCACTGAAATTAACTATATCAGGAAGTGTGGGCATTTTATATTAAAATCCACAGGAAGTGCTTCATAGGTAGAAAATAATACAAAATATAAGAATTAAAATAAGAAGTAGTATATCTTGTTAAAACATGCAGGCATTTGCCTCATGAAGCTAAGACTAACTCTTCACATCTTCAGGCTGCACTTATAATTAATACATCCTTCCTTGCTGACTACTATATGGGACTCCTGCAGATTTTCACCTGAATTTCAGCATAAACGACTCATGGAAACTAAGCAGAACATGCCAGATGGATCTGTAGTGGTAAGGACAGCTTTCAGGGATGACTTTTCTCTGAACTAGGAAAGGTGAATTTTCACTGTAATCCTTGCCATGTGGTAAATCAAACTTAAAACCAAAAAATACATTAATTTATGTAAAATCAAAATTCCTGAAATTAAAAGTCTAAAATTCTGCTTTCAACACTTGCAGAAGAAAGTCAATCGGTTAAAGTTTAAGGCATGGCTAAGATAGACAAGTGTTTAAACAGCTGGAATAGTTACATGAAGGCTCATTAAGCCTACAAAGGAACTTCAAGATTCCCAAATAAAACTATTTTCTAGAGTAACTATCTATTCTTGTTCCTCCACGGCAGACTCATAACTAGGTCTACTAAAGTAAGTACATTAAGGGCTTGAGATACAAGTCTTGTGCCTTGAGACATGAAAGACAAAGCTAAAGCAAAGACTTCAGATGCAAATGGAAGAGTTGTTAGAGTGAACAACATGAGAAGTACTGAGATAGTCATAAAATCCTCATTCCTGTTTCATAGTTTAAAGCTAATTTGACTTGTTAAGAGTATGAACATTCCAAGCATACCAAGATATTTTGGTTCTCATTAGCAGAAGATTCATTATTATTTGATGTCCACTTTATCATTATACTTAATTAATTTAGAAGCACCACCAAAGGTGGCAGCACCTATCACATCCAGTCTAATCTGAAATTAATTTAAAACCATCAATGTCTCTGGGTAACATTTACTGGGGCTGATGACTGATGCAATAAGTTGTTAGTATCTGCCTGGCCCCACAAACACTGCCAACTCCAGCACAAGCATTCAGGAGAGGGTTGCTTTTGCCTCCAACACTGCAGCTCCACAAGCACCACAAGGCACTTTAAAACTATTCTGAGACACACTGGCTCCCCATGCCACAGACATTCCTCCCTTAGACTGGGTACAACCATCCTGAGACGCTACAGAGTGAGCTGGTCTGGGTTCAAAACAAACTAAGCCCTAAGGTGGAGGAGGTTTCATGACTTTCTTGCTCCAGATCATTATGTGGGTGCACAAATGCTCTGACTGGCACACGGGAAAGGGGGTAGATAGGACTGACATTTTTCTTTGGCTGTAGTCCCAAATGTTTGGTAGAAAACAGCACAAAGCTGTCCAATTACAGACCTAGCTGTGACTGAGGATGCCCTTGGACACAAACCTTGTGACATGGTCTGTGCTCAGTGGGTGCCCCTCATTGCCAGGCTAAATTCTCCCGTTTTGTCAAATCACTCAAGTTTTTGTAGGCAATGAATCCTAACGACATACAAAAGGACATGAACATAGGAAGTGGGGTGGAGGGGTTGAGAGAGACAGAAACAGGGACAACAGCTGAGTAAAAATAAATCCAAACCCTTCTGTGGTTTTTTTTTTTTTTGGGTTTTTTTGGGTTTTTTTTTTTTTTTGCGTGTGTGTGGAGGTAAATGGACTCAATAAATGAAGCACTGAAACTGTGTCTTGTGATTAAACAATTGTTTCAACGCAACAGTTAGTGCTGTAACTAGCTCTGGTTCATGTGTAGTCCTGGCTAATATCCACCAGTATTTACTCTAGTGGATAGAAATAATTCATGATACAACCCAAGATATTAATGCCATTAAAAATGGAAAAATGTAGCAAATTCTGCTCAACCACCAGGAGCAGGTATTTAGGGAGACAAAAAAATCAAAAAATTGCTACTTTAGTAATCTAGTTCATCACTGGTTTCACTTTGTGTTTTCTTTTTGCTAGTCCAAGTAAAAGTAGCTGACCCTCATTCCTGCACAGCCTCAGGGAAGCAGGCCCTTTACAAAATCCCCGTTTTCAGTTGTAAATGTTAATCTGATCAATACAGTAATGCCATTTACTAGGAGTTTACACAATAGCCTCAGCTTCAGTAAAACACCTAAAAAATTAGCAAGTCAATTTAAAGGGAAAAACAACTCCCCATTAAATCCTATTCAGACCTGCAACTTCTCTCCAGGCCAAAACATACAGACATGTTCTCATGGGCAGGCTCCCTCTTTGTAATGTTAACAGAATAATTTTAAAAGACTAGATGTTTTAAAAAGCAGATGGAATTTAAGTACTGGGGAGGAGGGGGATGGAGCTCATTTGGTGTCTTTTGAAGCATCTTCAATTTATGGCTGGACTGCTGTAAATAAGAAACAGAGGAATACTGCCTGCTTCACTGGAAATCCTGGGACAAACTGGAAGTATGCAAGCTTTCTCCCGAGTTGTAGGCTGCAGAGCCTGAAGCAACACCACACAGTGCCCTGCAGTATATGGTATCTGTTACAACTTTTGTTTCAATACTTGAGTGTAGTGGCTATCTCAAAGTACTTCAAGACTTTTCATATTCCCCCATATATAATCTCCTTCATCTAAAAGTAGAAGACATCCTAAAAGTATGTTAATCCTTTAAATTATTTGTAGCATATATCCTATTAGATTCAACATTCAGAAGATGTTTTAATTCCTGCTGCCAACATTAAACCTAACTTGACTTCTACGTATTTTTGTATCTATGTGAAAACAGTAATATAGCAAGCAGAACTGTAGAGTCTGTAGCATATGCTCACAAAGGCAGCTTTTCGTGGTATAATTGGGGAAAATATTCTTCTAAAGAAGCAAGGGGAAGCTTGCTTTAGGAGTTTATTTTTATACTGGGCTCCCACTGTCTGTATTTCTTCACTATTATTGTGCTGCAATTAATTCCCATCACCAAATGAATGATGACATCTGGGAAAGTTGCTGGTTGAATCAATTACAGAAGAGCAAAAGCAAATTCCAAAACTGTAATGTCTATACCACGCAGATGAAAATAAGCTTATTTTTACAGCAGGCAGAATATCAGGAATCACAAATATTCATATTCAATGAACCTTAAACCTGCTGAAGTGAGAAAAGAAATCTCAGTAAGATTTACAAAAACCATATGCTCAAAAAGGTGAGACAGTTTCTTTCCTTAATAAAAAATGAAAAATGAAGACATAATATCACATAATTCTTCTTTTAAAAAATAAAAATGTGTCTACCTATAAAAGTTTGTGAGAACAATGAAATTATATCAAGGTTTGAAAATTTATAATAGGTTTATTTTTAATATTTTTTAAAAACATACCTTGTAGAGACCAAAGAAACCTAAGTCCCTTAATACACTGAGGGCACTAACTCGTGGACCAGTAGTAATTTCTCCAGCCACCTGCAATCGAATCTTGACAATTTCCAGTGGATTGGTAAAGATTACTTGAGAACCTCCAGCCTAAAATTAAAAGGAGAAATCAATATATTAACCTGCTCAATTATTTACAGTGTGTGTCCTGTTACATTCAAGATAAGACATTTTCAATCTTCCTGCACTCAGTTAAACAATTAGCAGTCAAGAGTTTTAGTGCATCTCACAAGGTAAGAAACTTACTCCCCCACCAGATGAGTTGTCAGGAAAAACAGAGAGGAAGCAGGTCAGCCACTGCAGGACACTGCAGTACATCAGACAGACACTAGCTCAATTATTTTTGCAAGAACACGTTCACCAACACCAAGTTATGCAATATTGACAAACCAAGAACACTGTAACACAAGTAATGAAGTAAAAGAAAAAATTAGCAACTAGCAAAGCAGCTGTGATGTGCAGTATATAGAAAGTGAAAGCATACTGTTGAAGAGTAGAAATCTTGCAGAAACTTTTTCCGATTTTGACATGAGTTCATATAACAAAGAGCACATGGATTCCAATGAACAGAATTGCAAGTATATTGTGTTTTTTTTAAAAACCCTCTGAACTACCAGTTTCAGTGCCATTAAATGCTGTTTGATTGAAGAGTCTAAGCTCTACATCATTATTTAGGTACCAGGCATTAAAGAAAAGAAGGTCTACAGACTGAAGGATTCTATTAATCAAGAACCACTAAATATTTTCAATGTTTCAGTCTCCATTTGTTGGGAAGACACCACTCAATCAGTTCTGAAAGTCTGCTTTAAAACACAACGGTGGCAAGCATTTTGGACTCCCTCTGGTTTTCATAAAGTTCATCTCATTCATCATATGTAATCTAGGGCATAACCTTTCTGCTATACTGAAAAATCCTGAGTTAAAAATCTGCAACCAAAAAAACAGGTAATATGAAGGTTACCTAAGTGTACTAAAAAAATATTAATTCAAACTCCTTCTGGCTCAAATTCAACAGACTGTCATTCTAACTTCTCTTAAATAATTCTGTGGCATAACAGCTATGCTCTTCTCTAGGTTCTGAAATCACACGAATTATGCAAAGGGCAACCCTCGCCCTCCCTACAACAAAACAACTATTTTGTTCTAGAAGGTAATGACTAAAATAAAATAACCATTTAGAAGCATTTGCACGTAGTGATGTCTAGTATGCAAACACCATGTGCACGTGTTTTTAAAATTATCACAGTGTTAAAAGAATTAATTGTAGCTCAGATTAACTATCATTCCAAATAAAAAATACACACAGTAATATGGTTCAAATAATGTGCTGAAGAAATGGCAAATCACACGAACAACTATTCTTGTCTACCACTTGGAGTGAGCATATACAATGTGGTTACAAATTAAAGTCTTTACATAACCCCCAAAATATCCCAAGTGTTTCCTATTTTGACCAGGAAAAGCATACTCTTGTGTAACTCAACTGGTTTTGACTTTCAAATTGGCATAATTTAATTTAACTGCTTTTACCGAACCAGAATCCTGGTATATATAAAACTACTATTCTTGTTGCCATCAAATATTAGGCTGATAAATTATTTGGCACATATGCTGATATACGTTTTGCACCTAAACTGGAACACGTTAAACAAGTAAGCATTCAAAACAAAACAAAAAAAAAATCCTTTCTTTTACTTGTCTACTCATTTTGTAAAGTCTCAAAATAAATAAAAAAGAATCCAGGAAAGATTCTTTGAAGAATTGCATATTCCTATATAATAAAAATTTTGGTGTAGATATTACAATTATTAGGCATTCCCCCATGCGAACATATATATTTTTTCTTAAAAATTATATGTTCATTTGCAAGTTTGTTATACAACAACCATTCTCTAAAACACATTACTTAAAAACTCCTAACAACTGATCTATTAGCAGAATTAAACTACATTCCCTCAGTATGATATTCCCACAGTTCATTGTGCCATGACTCCATGACAAATGTTCCTTTAATTTTCACTACAGGAAAACCGTATTAAACCTTAAAAGACTACAAGAAAATTAAGTATTAGTACAAAATTAGTATTATTATTACTATTAGTGCACCAAAACATGAACAATTTAAAAATCTATAAAAATGTTTATAAGTGAATGTCATTATAAAGAAAGGAAGTAGAAAGATATCTCTGATTTTAAATGAGAATAAATGCAAATTATTTAAATACGATATAATTTCAGGACAAACAGATGGGAAGTACTCCAGGTGCTAGCACAAATTAAATGCCTACATTTGCATGTCCAACCTGGCTGTGTAGACACTTCCAGCATTAGACATTTGCTGCTCTAGCTAAATCACATAGGACTTCTTCTGCTCCAGCTTGCTATTTAAAAACATAGATGCTATTATTTACCCACTTCAAACAATCAAGCTCGCTACATTCAAAGTTTTAAAAACACTAAACAGACTATCAATTTTGCTGCCCACACAGCAAGTTTGAAGAGAGACACTGGTCATTTCCATGAAATGTATCCAAACTGTCCAGATACTATCCCAGAACTCCCTGAACAACCTCTGCCATGCTCTGAATTTGATCTAAGACATACTCCAAAAATCAAAGGGTGAATAACTGAAAGCGATGAGCCAGACAATACCTGACAGAGGTCTCGGCAGGAGGGTTGCTACCACCTGCCTGTCTCCTGATGCAGAGGCAGCTGGTTTATCAGCCTGTGCAGAGGCAGTGCCAGGGGTAACAAGTACAGTTTCTCGGTGGGGAGCTTTGATCATTCTGTTATTTGAGCATCTGTGCTGGTAACTGCAGCTCCTTGCTCTCAAAATGGGGGGAAGCAAACCGGAGATGGCTACTGTACTCGCTAATGAAATGATTTCTTGCTTATCTAGTACTGGTAACTCCTATTGTGTTATTCATCATCACAGTAATGCAAGCGTCTCATAAATATTAATTTATTTCCTCCCAGTGCTTCTGAGAGGAAAGTACAATGAATCTGGTTTTACAATAAGGGGTTTTGAGGGAGACACTTTAATTGTATGACCAGTGTGTGCATTTCCCCCCTGCCCAAATATTCACAACTAGCAAGAGTCTCCAGATATCCTCATCTCCAAATCAGTATCTTGAATCACAATAGCATGGCTTTTGTCTTCTTTCTCAATTTTTGCATAGTGAATGCAATGAAAGAAATCTTATCAATCTGGTTTTTTTCCAGACTTTTCAAGGTACTGGTATGAACTGGTATGGAAAAATCCAACCAGACAAAACATCCTCAGGACATTGTATCACCCTGTTCATTCATTTTGTTTGGCCAAAAGTTGAAGAATACTGCCTTCTGGTTTGCTAGGCTTTGCAGTCAAAAATGAATTTAATTATAAAATTTTTAAATAAGCTCCCAAAGGGAAGAATTTGAAAACTGTTGTTTTTTTTTTCTTGTCCTGAATAAACATCACTGAAGCTTAGGTTGCTCAAGCTTAATGATTTCTCCACTAAGTTTCAGAAAAATCAAATACATCAACTGTTTAATACAGACGGTTCCCAGTAACACAAATTTTTCTATACTGAAGTTACAAACTTGAATACCCTCAACTCTGAATTCCTTATCTCGTCTTCCAATCATTTTTTAAACAAATGATCTGATCATATAAGTAAATCTTTACTTTTCAATTATTATCATGTGATTAAAGTAAAAACTACAATTTTGAGTTATTTATAGGCATAGATAACCAGAGGTACTGCACAGATAATTATCTCAAAAGGCCCACAAAGGGCCCATATTATTCTGAAAGAATTTAACATTTGACCTAATCACAAGCACTTATGGTCTTGTTTGATTTAGAACAAGAAAATAAAAGGGAAATATCACTGTCATCCAAGAACAATTCATACATGTATAAATGTGCTTTAACAAAGTCAGCTAGCTATGCACCAAACACACGTGAATTTTTAAAAATAAGCTGGGTTTTTCCCAATTTTGCCGTTCTTCAACTCTGAAATTGGTATGATATCATCCAACACCTCTCGATGGCAGTATAGTCTTGCACAGTAATACAGCACTGTCTATCATGTCTTCAGCTACTTTCCTACTTTACAGAATAGAAGGAAGAAGTAGAAATAGTTGAGGATTGGTTGGGTTTTTTTGTCCATGGAGAAATAAAGCCCACTCCGTAATTAAAAAATTTTGTTTAGTAACAACCACTTAACAGTATTTCAGTTTAAGAAGTCAAAATGTTTTCGATTTCTTCGTGTTCAAATCACTGCAATAAATTTGCTGGAAAATAAACAGTTTTTCACCCCCCCTCATTACACTGAGAGAATAAATTTATGTTCTTTTTAATATAACTGCTTTTTGTGCCCTTATGAGATTAACTAAGAAATGAGCACACCAGACGCAACTCTCCTTGGGCTTTCACATCTCCATTTGAAAGCTTTGCTGTATGCGCTGGAGAGAATACAGCCTGCAATTAAAGGAGGAAATTCTGTTTTCCATTCCAGAAGAAAGTACTAGATTCTTTTCCTTTCAGTGCTACTGACCATCCACTGTTCTTGATCCTCTAATTAACCTTATTACCGATTTCAAATTGTAGCTCCATTCCTGTTCTCCGTAACAGCTTTTAGGGTCAGCCTAGATGTTTCTTCTGCATCCCGTCCAACTTATCATATATCCCCTTTTATGATTTCATGGATGAAGACAGGATTACTACTGTTATTAGAGTGTTAATGTTTTTCAACAATATCACCCAGGGATAGCAATTATAGCAATTAATGGCAATCATAAAAATACATAAGCAATATACTAAACAATTACCAAAAATCAACCTCTGCAAAACAAATTGTCTACCGTGTCTTAGTTACTTGTTTAATCTATAAAAGACAAGCAGGTGCAAATTCCAAGATTTTTGGTCAACTGTTTATCATATTCAGTCCTACTGCATATCATACTCTGTCCCAAGCCCTTACTCTTTGTCAGCTTCCAGACGCAGCTTGTTTTCCTATGCATTTCCTAGCATCCATTAGTCCTAATTAAAGTCATGGTTCCTAAAGTACAGACACTAAATAAAGATTGCTCGTTGTCATAAAAAA